TCACAAAATGTGTAAGCTAGCTCACTTCGAGCTCTGTGTCGATCGTTTCTACAGTAGAAATGATCGACACATCGTCTTACTCAGTAGGAGTAGAAATTCTACCCCTACTAAGTAAAATGATGAAGAGGCTAGCAGAAGGGAGTCCCTTCAAGGGACTGTCTCGTCAGATGTTTCTTAAGAGACATCTGGTGTATCACCACCGATTCCATTGAAGGAGATCTGGTGTATTACCACCGATTCCATATAGGGGTATCTAGTGTAGCATTAAATTAGCAACTAGATTCATATATCAAACATCGTGTTTCGGCTGAAACAAAGTTCATTATGGGTTGTGTTGAATGTCATAAGGTCACTGACAGTCAGTAATACTCGATATCGCAACGATATCGGCATGCGGAATGTAATGATATTATCGTTGCATTTCGCATGCCCGGCACACTACCTTGGGAATTCCTGAATAGAATCCAAATCCAACCAGAACGCGATTCTTCAGGTGAGAAAGTCTTCCAGCATGCGTAGTTTCATTCACGACACGAATGTATGATAAATATTCTATATGTTGATTTATCAGGGAACTTACTCAGACTGAATACGATGTAGACATAAATCCGATCGATAGCGAGCCGAGTGGCGTGGATCAGTATAGAGAGTCCGGCAGTGATATTCTTTGAAACATCTCTGAAGACTGAATTTCAGTCATTGAAACCGAACACATTGGCTTCTTGTTATTGACAGAACCGCGGTGTTTTTTCAAGGGACTAGCGTGTCGTACGTTATGTGACGGCCACTCAGTTCGAAATCTACAAATCATTCCAAGGGCTACTAGAACGTGGCTCGAGATCTTGATGTACTACACGTCCAAGCCAAAGCCTGCGCACGGCAACTATTAACTCGATTCGTTTACGGAGCAGTGAGCTTCATATTCACGAAGAGCAATGAGAGTGGTGTACATGCGAATCGCACGATGCGATTACGCATAGAAGACTTTACTCGCAAATAATGTGAATTACATTGCAATGATACCAGACACGGCGAGAATAATCAAGCTCCCAACAGCTGCAATAGCGTTAGAAGTTGGGCCAGCAGTGGTCTCGGCAGCAGTCGGCGCGACAGTGGTACTCTCTGCTGTGGTGGTCGGTAGATTGGAAGTAGCAGCGTCCCCGCTAGTAGTTGCGGCCGCAACAGTGCTTGTAACGCCGGCTGAAACAGTTGTAGCAGCCACAGAAGTAGCAGCGGCAGTAGTGGGCACAGTCGTAGCACCAGCGCTGGAAGGGGCAACAGTGGTCGACTGTGAAGTAACCGCAGCAAGAGTGGCGAACAAGATAGCGAGACGCATCATGGTAGGATAAAATTCAGCTGAGAACTGGAGAAGGTATCCCAAACACAACATCAGATCGATCAACTCACGGGTGGGAACATCCACCTAGGATGTTATCCATACTTTAGTCATGCTCTCCAGCGGCCAAGATGAAGCTACACTATTCAATGTTACTTATCGGTCTACAAAACGAAACTGATCATGAGGACAGCAACTGTGCTGATGAGCACCGCACAACGCGAAGCTTCAGAGTTGGGTGACGTTGTCGTCGTTTGAATCACTGAGGTTGCGGATGCCACCGTTGTGCTACGCAGACCTGTGGTGGACACCGCAGTTGTCTGAACCTCCGATTCGGCACTGGTAGTGGCAACGTCAGCGGCGACGGTAGGCGTGCTCGTACTTACGGCAATGCTGGTAGCGAGGCTGGAAGAAGTCGATGCAGTAGTCGATTGAATGGGAGTGGATGTGACTTCAGAAGCAGTGGAGAAGGGCACAGTGGTAGCCTGATTCTCAGTGACAGGAAGCGCAGTTGTGACTACAGCGGGTGTCCGTGAAGCAACCATGGGAGTTGTCCCATCAACCGTGGTCGTACCAGCAACCGTAGTCGTACCAGCAACCGAAGCCGTACCAGCAACCGTAGTCGAATCAGCAAGGGTAGTCGTTGCAGCAGTAGTCACGTCAGTTGCGGTCGCGATAGTAACCTCGGAAGTCTGTGCATTGGCTAAGGCAACCAGACAAATGGGGACAAGGAGGTGCATTATGACGCAGTCAAAATAAACTGAAGAATAACTTCATCGTATAGTGCAAGTCGATAACGAAACACGTACTCACTTTCACAGTGAATATTAATCACCGAAAAACCACGAGTACTCTGTACAACAGACTGTGATACCAAGTACACAGAACAAAAATACAGAACCAAGAGACATCCAACGACGTGAGATTCCCTGATAGATGAGCTCGCGGAGACGAGCTGCCCCAACGTGGTTGCGGCAGAAGTACCAGTAGACGGTTTCGGAGCAGTAGTCAGATTCGTGGTAGATGATCGAGAGGAACCCTGCGACAGAAGGAGCTCATGACAGTGACCGCTACGAGAATACGCATGACTGCAAGAGCACAAATACTACGACCTACTTATATAACCTTTACACGCCCTCAAAACTGAACTAGACGAGTTCGTAGTTGGTAAAGTCTAGCTGACTGATGCATGATAGTGAGCGTCACACTCGCTTGCCCGGACGTTTCGAGATGTGGAGCTAGTTACTCTGAAACGCTGTTACGGAAATCGCCGCCCACCTTACTTTCGTAGTGCTACCTTTACCATAAGGCGTTTACACGGTGATTTATGTTGTCACATGACATGATACAACAAGACGTGACAGACAACGAATCGCCATAATCTGTTTCATCCGGTGAAATAGGGCCAATTGTGGGCGGTCAGACTTCTCGTCGACCCGACCGCCTTTTATTTTGTCCATACTTGAGTGGTTAGTAAGTTCAACTTGATCTCCTTACACTGCTAGAAGGAGCTACCTCCGTAGAGCTGCACCGCTGGAGTCGTAGCAGACTATCGTTCATCTTCTCTGGTGATCCGTGCAGCCCAAACTACAACACAACACGAACTGTCGTACACGGTGAGCTCACCCGGGTGAGCAGAGAGAATCCTACTGTTTAAACTTAGCCAATGAAGAACGCAGTTCAGCAAACTGTAGACCATGCAAATTAGGAGACTTCGTATTGCAGTTTTTAAAAGATTCTATGGTAACGAAGATCGCGAAAGTCACATCAGTCATGTGGTTATGATCTCACATGTCACATCCGTAGCTCAGTTATCTTCCTACTATTTCCAATTGAGCTTTCTCGAAAGAGAGCTTCACGCAGAAGCGAACTACGATCGGGTTGAGGTGCTGCGTTGGTGTATTGACGGACTACGAACCTATGTTGCTTTGCGAACTTATCACCAATGATCGGGTGCTGATTTTTGACTATCAACACAACAATGGATGTTGTTGTTTGGAAAGATTGTTTTCAAGCGATGTTCATCCCTCCCAGAGCTACGACACGCGTTCCTACAACGACAGGCTATAGGAACTGTTTTCCTCGAAGTTCGAGCCTGGACCCATATGAATTCAATGATCCTTCCAGTCTTCACACATTGCTAGGACACCTAGCTAAACCAAAACGGAAGGTCTATGGTATGGTGTGGCCACAGTCTTTAGCCTCTTTTTTTGGATAAATTCGATGCGCCACGGATCGTCCGTGACGGATGGTCATAATAAAGCGTGCACAATATTCGGATGCTGATTCGAGTTAGCTGCAACCCCTGACTCGGCATGGCTGCCATGTGGAACACCTTTCTATGTATTATTCTGAGACGAAAGTGAAGAAGATTTATGATTCTGAATACCCATTTTCAGGGAAGCTTCAGTGAATTCCATAATAATAACCATAGCCATCATAAATGTGTTTGTCGTGACTGCGTGCTTGCACGCGACCAACAATCGCGACGTGTCTTCGGCCAGTTTCCACATGATTTTCGTGTTACGAAGCACCCCTCACCTCCACGTATCCAACAAGATGTCAACATCGCTTTGGTTCGTATCACTCGGACATTCCAACAGGCTCGTGGAGTCTTATTTCGGGAGGTCGGAAAACTGCGTGGCGAGCGAGATAAGTACTAGGTAAAGAGGACGACCCGAGCCGCCGTCGAAACACGAGTACTGTAACTCTCCATGAGGCTTTTGTGATATTCTCAACTGAGTGTTGGCCGAATAGCCAATACATGTGAGCATTCAGGTATTGGACCGAGGGTCGCGGGTTCGAACCCTGGCTCAGTCAATATTCTCCTACGAAATTCCAGCGCAAGGTGTTTTCCTGTCTTGGTTTGTGTGGCGTAGACTTAGCAGTGACTTTATGTCCGACCCAACACTCGTCTTTCTAGAAGACCTAGCTCAGATCAGTGGTGACACGACGTGTCAATCCCCATCGTGCCCTGCAGTGTTACTATGTGTGAGTCTTCTGAGGCTATCAGCGACAGTTCGGCGAGGCCGACTCACTCAGTTCGCGGTTATTGGACATCGTGCGTTGAACATCAGCGATGCCGAACCAGACTACTTCACTGAAATCCAGTATTGTCACTATTTTTACGAGAAGAGTAACGTTTAAAATGACAACAACGCAAGGCGTTAGTAAGGTGCCTCTGTTGAGACCGGCCTATTACGAATACCCATATATGATGCCAATGGTTCTGTTGAGATTAAGATATGCTCTAAGGTGAGATCTAAAGCAGTGTTGGAATATATGCTCGCTTTTCTCAGCTGAGCTCAGGAGTTTCCTCAATATACAAATTTGGGTAGGAGTGCAGAAATCAACAGCAG